CATTAACGAATATTCTTGGAATAAATAATGTTAATTATGCTCCTTCCATAGCTATCACACGCTAATTCAAACAGCAATTCCATCCACTTCTTCATCTGCTGTTTGCTGAACGTTATCCAGAAGAAGATTTTCCAGCTATATTTTTTCACACACATTGAAACATTTTTGCGCGCTTGATTCTCAGGAGGTTTGGCATCGATTTTGGACGCTTGTGGAGATTTTCTCACAGCTTCTCACCGACCAGAGGATGACTCTTTGTCTCAATTTTCCATTAGTGGCCAACACACAAGACGAAGTCGAAAAAAAATTGGTAATTTCAACAATTTAGCGCCTTGTGTTGAAGATTTCTTATTGTGGCCTCCTCGCTTCTCCACCATTGAGGCATGCTTTAATGCTCCGGAGATGATAATTCTCACAAAGGCTTTCATAATTTCAGTTATTTTCGGTGGAAAAAAAAATCATGTGAATCTCGGTGTTTAAGTGAATTTTCAGGAAATTCCTCAGTCAACTTGATTTCTCAAGTTTTCAAACTTCGAAATATTTCGGAAAATTTCAAGCCCTCTTCTGTGCCTCCCAACAATACTGTGCCACATGGAAATTCTGGCCAGAAAGCCAAGACAGACACTTTTTTTGGCGCGCATGAACAAGGAAGGGAAGGAAAGCTTGGTGTGTGATGAAAAACATGTTTTGTTCATTTGACGACGATGGTGGAGGAAAAAGAGAAGATCTCATGAGATTGTGTGGTGTGAGAGAGGTACAGATATTTGAAGACAGCGCGAGACTCGCTGACATTTTACAAATAAACGGCCAGAGAGATTTTTTGGGTAGAGTTGATTAGCATGATGGTGCGAAGTCAAACCTGATGCCGCTTAAATCAGTGTATAGTTAGGTCAAATGAGTCGACACTATTGTTGAAATTATTAATTATACGTAAATATAGGATACGGTGTGTGGTAGAAATTACCATCCAACATATTCTCCTCACCTACACATCAGCTTAGTGACGCTGTCCAAAGTATCACTGCCAGCCGAGAGACCTCCCGAGAAATTGAACCACCACGACAGAGGAATTATATTCCCCATTTCTTCTACACCTCAAGAAAATGTTATCAGTCCGACCAGAGGAGGGTTTGGAGTTTCTTAGTCATCGCGCCATTCGAAGTGCCGCTGAGGAAACGTGACTCAACAATCACGGTGGTGTGTTTTCGGTCGTCTGCCAAAAACTCCTCATCTTGCCATCCTGAGCAAACGTACTTTTCCACTTCATCATATTTAAGGTCTGACGAAGTAATTCATCTCTGAAGAATAAAATTCAAACTTACGAATATGCAGACAATGCGCGTGTAACATGCCATAAGACAACACTCTGCACACTCTGTGTTTTTGACGTTAAATGCAAATATCACGACACTCATGCAGTAAAATGATTTTCATTCTGTTGTGATTGACCATTTCACAGCACATTAACCCAAAAGTCAACGAAAAATCATTATCACTATTTATCATGGGAGAAACATTGAGAGACATCTCCAGTCATTAGGGGATTGCGTGAAATTTGAGCAAATAGACGTTCTGCCAGTGTTTAATTGAGCTATTTCGATTTTGCAAAATCTTCCATGGTCAAAAGCGGAGACTTTGTCAAGTTGTGTGCGAATTTCCTTCACAGCATCTCTCTTCGTGGGGGATCGATAAGCAAAATAGTGAAGGACTTTTCTTCCCCAGCAGCTCAGTGCTTAAATATGTTTTCGGTTCGCTCCTCACACTCCTGATCGTCCTCTTCCGGAGGCATTGCACAGCGTTATAGTGTAAGCAAGTTAAAATTGGGTATCCACAAGATTTGTAGAATATCATGCTGATAATACAGCGCTGGAGTGACTGTGTGCTCTTTGGCGGATGGTGATAATGCCGTGCAATCTGCAAAGAATGGGGTGCTTTAATCCATGGCCATGCCGATGGGTCACGCATCTCTTGAATAACTCTCTCCCGGCACTCCTTCCGTCAACCCACAGCGCCCAGCATAATATCTTGAACGTGGTATCTGCCACTGCATAGATTTCCCGAGAGGCGAGAGATCTCCGGCCCACCCACAAGGCTTCAGCGCGCCACCCGACGCCCATCTTCGCTCTTGCAGTGCATGTGAGAGGGTAAATAAATTTCACGGACGGAAAATGGAAAATTAAGAGCATGAAAATGTTGTTTGCACAGACACAAAAGGCAAAGAGTGAGAATTTTCAAAATATTTTCCCCAGTCTCGAGCATATTGCACGCAAATGTCTTTTTCCAACTCTTTTGTCAACCCCATTTACATAGGACAAACGGCTGATGAGAGATTTATGTTACAAAGATTTTGTTAAATATAATTTATACATTAACTTTACTCAACAGCCTCCAAGATTCCAAGTTATAATAAATTGACTATTGCGAGTGCGAAATATATTGGCTAAAATTAATTTTAATTGCCGCACTGCAATAATACGTACTTTAAATGAACGGAAATAGATAAGCAATGGCGTCATTTGCAGATACAACAATCAATATAATTATTGAACTCAATCGAAGAAGAAACATGAAAAATCGTTGCACAATGGGAAATTGAAAACAAAAACAAGTTAAGAAATGCATTTATTTAAATATTGATTTCATCACTTTGGGAAATAATCGGAAAAACATCAAGAAGAACATAATTTTCCACTAAATACAGAGTAATAACATTTTTGTTACGACTATTTAAGTTGTGGTTTTCGCTGAAATAATAGTAAAACTAAAGGGCTTCATTTGAAGATAATTCCGAGAATCGCGACGCTTTATCACTCCTAAGAATAATCATTTTTTTATACCTGTCAATTCTGTGGAATTCATGGGTGAGTGCCATGTCGCTTGAGAGACATTTTATTTGAACGAGCGCGCGCGAGGGAAAGTTTTTTGATCGCTCGCATACACAATTGTATGAAAATTAAATGGCAGAGCGCGTCACTTTAGAAAATGTTGGTACTTACCTGGGCACAGTATGAAAACGCGGCAAGGACATTATCACATTTGATATTTCATACCAATATCTAAGTTTAAATAAATTTAATGCGCTGTGCCGTGTGGTGTGTGTACATAAGGCGCGGTTTTATCCAATGTTTATTTATGGACATCATTTGAATTTATCAATTTGAATTCACGTAGCAATACCACGTTTATGTACCCAACGATCAAATAAGTGTGTGCGAGTGTAGATAAATATCAGGGAAATTTTTTTTTTTATACCTACACTATATCTCTTCTTGCCTTTGGCGCACACCTCCCTGGGTATCTTCTCTCTCTTTATCGCCCAGAGTCAGAGGATAGTGCAAAAAGTTTCTCCGCGACTACCTTCACGTCTGCATCGGCCACTTTACCTCGATTCTCGTCGGGCGTCTTGTGGACACCGCAATTGAGGAGGTCATAAATTTTTCGGTCCCATTTCACGGCGGATGACTCTGAAGAAGGACACCCAAACGTGCCTCTATGTACTCACTATTGGAGGACAGTATTGACTATTTGATATGCGCATGTCGAAATCATAAAAGCCATCAACATACACAGACAATCATGGCGCACCAGAGAGAGTTCTTCCTCAAGATTCGCAACAAAGGGACACAACCCATGGAGAGGAGGAAAAAGTTGGAGCAAAAAGCTGCCCATGAGACATCCATCCTCCACACGCCCTAGCCAAAAAACCCTCAAGACAATGAATTTTAATCATGGCGTGTGTTTAATTTCACCCAGCAACGGAACGCGTAGATAAATACTTTTTATCTCCTCACTGTGCGTATATATTTTCACGTCAGGAACGCATGAATTTAAATGGATTCCACCCCCTTTACGCACTTAATATACATAATACACCAATTATTCGCGCCTTTATTATTAATTGCGGCATTTTATTTAATTATTCCGTGTATAATCTCACTCTGCATGTGAGATAATCTCGCTTAGAGCCGTGTCTCGGTCGCATTTTGGGCCCCAAAAGCCGACATCCACCTGAAAATTTGTATTTGATTTCCTTCTCCCCGCAAACATTGTACGCTCATTTTATTGCTTCCACTCTCTTTTATTTTCGGATAACTTTTAACAATTGTGGCAATTTTGGCGGTGAAATCAGAGGAATTAAGCCGAGAATATGCTGTGGGTTAAGCACACATAATTACATATGTCGCAATTTTCATAGTCAACAACATTTTCAACCGTGTTTTCTGGAATGGAATAGCAAACCGCACAATTCCACAGCGTTCTCTGAGGGGATTTTCCTGAAAAATGTGTCGGAGTTTCTGTTTTAAATAACTCACTATATATAGTTTAGTTGTTATCAAGCTTTTTGGTTTTTCCTGAGAATATAAATTTAAATATAAATTATAATTTCTAGAGTAAAGTTTCCTCATTTCCAGTTAATCCAGGAAAAAATAATTTTTTGTGGATCAAATATTAAATAATTCTTTCTATAGCGTCACATTTACAAGTATTCGATAAAATAATAGAGTCTATTGTGGCATTATTTACCTCTTGCAAAATTATTCACGAACATGATGATTCTCTGTGAAAATTAAAACACTTTCAGTGAAAATAAAGGGGATTTTTTACGCTGTGTAATGAGATGTATAAGCAAATTTGCAAAAATCCATATTCTGCATTTTTAACGAACTTTCCAATTAATTGCCCTGAATGCACACAAATCCATTGCGGAAAATCGATAAACCTTTTTTTTCCCAACAATTCACGAAATGTGAAATTATTTTCATAAATACAATGAGTTGTCTTACGGCAAATTACTTTTCAATTTCTTCTGTCGACAGAGAATGAAGTCATATTGTAATGCAAGCGGTTAATTTACTTGATAAACTTCATGGCTTTATGTGAAGTTCTACGTGTAAATCACATAGGAAATGCATTCCCTCGCCATCGTCTGACTTTTCCATCCACTATCAGAACTATGCACATATTGGAGTCCACTGATAGGCGCTGATAAGAAATGTGGCGACTGATAGGATTTTTTCTCTCTCCTCAAAATATCCATAAAACTGCTCAAAAGGGAGGAAAAATGAGGTAAAATCCGTTAAATTTGAACATTGAAATTTTTATTACTTTTCAGATTATTCGTGACAAAACAGTATTAATATCTAATTAATATTTTCTTTCTCTTCAATTTTTTGTTTTTTTTTCTTCTTCTTCTCTCCCTCTCTTTAATTCATCAGTGAAATCAATTGAATAAATTGTTTTCTGTCTTGCAATTAATTTAATTATAATATCTAATATCTATTTATAGATATATTTTCCCATATTTATACATTATTACATTATACTTTTTCTCTTATTTGAAATGTGATTCTTTACATTATTTTCTTACACTGGTAGATGTTTCATTTGTTTCTTCATCCATAGTTAATTAGGGTAATATTTTCTGAATGTATTCTCTATACTCTTCTGGTTTTTCTCCCCTATGCGCTATTTAGATACTAATTACAATCTAAACTTATGTACTCACTTTCCTTCAAATCATTTCCATCTCACGATTTTCTTTTTTTTATATGTTATATCAATAATGCTTTATTACTTCGTCTCACTTATCATTTCTAGATAGTCAAATGTACAGTATTTCTCACACATTGTCGTCTATCATTTCGTCATCCTATAATTAAAGTGTATAGTATTTTCAGTAGATTTTTCTCTCAATATGAAATTTTTTCTTTTTTTTTCATTCAGTTTCATCTCAGGTTAAATGCACTTTTTCGACTTCGAAAACCTTAATTACTCAGGCATTATTGCCCCATCTATAAATGTAACTTTCAGATGAAAAGGAGCAAGCTATGCGTGACTTTTCTCCTCCATTAGAATTCTTCCTTTACTCTCTCATGCTTTCTGGGAACATTTATTGCACTAACAGCTATAGAGTCTGATAAATAAATTATTTAGCGAAGGAGGAATAGAATTGCAGTGGGTCGATAAAGAGACTATCCAGTGGAATTGATAGAAAAAGAAAACGTCAAATAGACACTGTCTCATGTAGTGACCCACATTATGCTAGGAATAAAAGAACTTATATATACCCTTTGTTTAGATTGCAATTAAAGATATGACTAAAATACTCGACTTATTGATAGTGATAACAGGGCGCAAAAAATTTCTGCGTTTTACTGCTCTTTTTCCCATGTGGAAAACTGTGTAGAAAAATAGAATTTATTACAGTACTAAAATAAATCGATAAATGAGATTTTTATGCCGAAATTTCTCTTCCGTCAACTTTTCTTCATCACATTTTTTTTGGTGAGTGAGAAAATTGTAATTCCTTTGAACTTACACGTTAACGTGTTTTTTTTTGGCGGAACATGCAATTTAAGCCATTAGAATCTGTACTTTATTTAGTATTGCAAATGAATTCTCAATAAGCATAAATTTGTAATCGATCTTTATCAAAGTTTTTTCTCAAAATATACAATTTATATATTTTTTTTAAATAGTTTTGCATCCATTCAAAAACAAATTTGTACCACTTTTTGAAAAGCTATATTTTTTTTGTCATATGCCGAGAATTTAGAGTGAGAGAAAGATTGGGAAATATGAACGAATAATGCGGTCTCTTAACATCACAAGGCGCGTATTTTAATAGCGCTATACTCAATGTGTCGCATTCTTCACGTGTAAACACATTTTGTATCTCACTAATTAAATATTCACGATGTTCTGCTAAATTTTTTTTACATCTCCTTTCTGTTATTCTTTTCTTGCAATGAGAGAAATGAAATAACCAAAACTGTCAGTACAAAAACCATCAATTGCCAGCGGCAAAATCTCTGAATCACTGATGCAACTCCTTATTTGTTTAGTTCTTTTTCCGTCCACCGTCTTCGCAGACAGGCGGGTCGGTTTGCAAGGAGTCCATTGAGAATATTGACTTGATGATTGCAATAAATTTCTGGCTATTGTTTTAAATTGATGCTTCTTCTGTGGAATTGATCTCTTGATTAACACATGCCCAGATATGAGAATGAGATTCACAGTAAAATCATTCTCTTTGTTGTATTTTGGTAGTCAATTTCGCGACTCAACTAAATAAGATTTACCGTAAATCTGAAGACATTAAATTCAATTTTATCTTGATGGTGTAACATTGCAAGTCTATCGGCAGTTGTGAATCAATTCTCACTCTGAACCATATATATTGTCGATGAACCACTGATTCACACTATGTAAGATCGTATCGGACACATATCGTGAAATCAAGGAAAACACAAAGAGTAGAACTCCTTCGGGAGTCAATAATAATGAGAGTAGCTTATTTCGAAAGTTACCTTGCCTTATGTCTAATTGTCTCTGTACAAAGTATTGTTGGCTGTGAAGATGGCACCAAAAAGCGAGTGGGAGTGTTCATCTGTTGACTGGTCAGGGTCACTGGAGTGGACGGTGTCCCATGAAAAAGTCCACAGCACTCATCCATCCGATGTGTCGCATTGAACTCGGTCCAGCCACCTGCAATGCAGGCTATTCGATAATTGTAGTTGGTTCTAGTTAGATCACAGCTTAGGCCAGCGGATACTGGTGTCACAAGCTCGTCGTACCGGTCGGCGCGTGGTATCCCAGACTCTGGTAGTAGGATTCCTGTCCCAAGGCAGCGTGTGAGTTCGGAAGTGGACTGAGGGCGTTGTAGCCCGTGTACTGGCTCATGTCGTACATCTTGATGTCGGCCTTCGATTCGGTGGGCAGGAGGCGGGTGATGGAGAACGGGTGGCTCGAGGGCGTGTATCCCGTGGGCTCCTGCTTCAGGTGGTGCATGGAGTGGTAGTCGCTGAGGAGGGACGGGTGGCATCGGTTCACCATCGCGGACAGCTCCTCCTGCTGCAGCTGCTGATGCGGTCCGGGGTGCTGGGCGTGGGGGTGCTGTCCGAGTCCCAGTTCCGCGCCCGCATGCAGCAAGGCCAGCGTCTCGGCGTCTTTTCCGTGGGCTGAGGTGAGCATGGCCGTCATATGGGGGTCGGTTTTGTGGTCTCGGTGGTGGTCATCGTGCTGGATGACCTCCTTCTTGCCCGGACTCGTGGCCTCTATACTCTGCGACGGGCTCTTGTGGATCTGCCGCAGCTGCTCCTTCTTCTCATCCTTGAATCGCTTCTGCCGCCTCAGGTAGCAGCCATTCTCGAACATGTTCCCCGAGTCCGGGTGGAGGGTCCAGAAGGAGCCCTTGCCAGGCTTGTCGGGCGTGCGTGGCACCTTCACGAAGCAGTCGTTGAAGCTGAGCGAGTGCCTGATGGAGTTCTGCCAGCGCTGCTGGTTCTGCCGATAGAACGGGAACAGGTCCATGATGAACTGATAGATCTCTGACAGTGTCAGCATCTTGTGCGGGTTGTTCTGAATCGCCATGGTGATGAGGCTGATGTAGCTGTAGGGCGGCTTGGCGTGCGTGTAGCTTCGACGGTAGGAACTCGGCTTCTCCACCCTCGATCGCTGCAGCACGGAGGAGTTGGGCGAGGGCGCGTCGCCCAGCTCGCGGCCCGCGCCCATTGTGCCGACGGAAGTGTAGCCGCCCATGCTGGCCGCCATGGTGCCCATGCCGGAGCTCATGCAAGAGCCCATGTTGCTCAGCGGGGAGCCCATGGAGCCGTACCCCATGGCCGAGGGGGTCATGCAGTTGCCACCCATCGTGTTCATGGCTGCGCCCATGGTCGTCATGCCGCTGGAGCCCAGCACGCTCGACCCGAAGCTTCCGCTCTGCGGCGACACCGACGTCATGCCGCCCACTGTCATGCCCATGGTGTTCATGGAGTACGTCGGAGCGCCCATAGGACTCATGTTGCCACCTGCCATACTCGATGAATTAGTCGTTTCTGGATATAGCTTTTGCATATTTCCACCCCGATGGTCACTCAAGCTCGCTATTTACACAGTCTTGGAGCTAATGGAGCACATGAAAACCTTTCTCAGTTCACTTGAATCCACATCTTTCGCCCCTGAGGCCAATGAACACTTTTTTATTACCAGCTATGTGTGCAACTCAATTGGCTGCGCGATGTTCACCAATTACTAGATGATTTGAGCCAGCTCAGTATGTGGGTTAATCCTCCATGTGTGATGAGACACAATTTTATATGCACAACTCATTTAATTATCAGAACACAAACAACTAACATGGAGTGCTCGTCTGGGTTGACTTAGGGGCTTCCACCTACCCTGTGGACTATTTGCTCTCACAGTGACTTTGCCCAATATCCACCCAGTTGCTCCTCTTGGATGCTGAAGACACGACTGGATGTGTTTATATGGGATGGTATATCCTTTTTGGGATGCTGTGTACAGTGAGTTAGTTTATTTGCGGGGCAACAGGTTTGCCTCACCACCTCCGTTGCGGGGGTTTAAGTAGGTGCGGCCCTAAGACACCATCAAACACTATCCTCATCCACTATATCCTCTCGACTTCACACTTTTCACTTTAGCCTAGTTCCAGATCTGCACACACAGTGTAGGCTTTGTTCCCCTAACTAGGTCTTTCGTCCTCACACGAGAGATCCAAATCACATCAACTGGGCGCAACTTATATTAGAGTTATTTACTTTCTCACTTTGCAAGTTTACTTTCCTGCCGGTCAATAGAGTTCCAGAGCTTAGGTTCCTTGTGAGTTTGCACTACCCTTGGGTGGGATGTGAACACAAAACCGAAGAAAATAATAGGGTAAAAAGAACGCTCCGTCGCGAACCGTCGCTCAATAAACACTATATTTACGCGATTAATAATCTCGTAGTGTTGGCTTAGGTTAACAATAATAGAAATTTACACACACGATTGGAACCTTATTACCAACAGATATACACCACCAATACTGTATGTTGCCTATTCAAAACACACCGTTATAAGATGCGACTGTTTGCAGAGGGGAATTCCTACTATTTGGCTTATAAACGATAGCCCAACTGAAGTGCCATCGCAGAAAACTTTACGTAAACGCTCGCACTGTGACTCTTGTCTCTTCTACCACACAAGTCTCCCTCTCACTCTACCAACCACCCATTAGACTTCCAACACAACTTAGGCGCCCCGATCTGGTTGTCTCACTCCGTTCGCAGCGTGCGTCTGCTTGAGTCGCGCTGCAGTGAGTATGTTTGTCTCCCTTGTAGGAGTTGGTATATCCAAAACGCAGGCCGCGCGCATGTAGTCGTCTCTGTCTGTCGTGAGGTCTGTGGCAGGTCTGGTGAGAAGAGGTGAAGACGATGAGACGATTCTGGCGCTGGCATGGGAAGGGGCAGCTATCAGTGGGCTGCTCTGCTAACACTGTGCACTCTCTGAGCCAATACTGAGAGGGGATTAGACCCGGAATGTCTCGTACGTGAGAGCAACAATTCGAAGAGATGCCCACACTCTCTCGCGCAATTGCCATGGGAACCGCCAAGGGGTGGCGCCCCGGTCAGGCCACACCCCGCGCAGCTGACAAGCTCTTCGATCCTTGCCAGCAGTGCGCAATTGTCCGAGAGACTATCATTGAAGGTGATGGAAAATGTCTCAGCGAGAGTGAAGATCTATCATTAATATTTACAACCATCTCCTTCGCTCCCGTGTGCCGCCAGAGGGCCCAATTAATTGGTTGCGCCGCGGAGAAAAAGGGATGAGCCGATGGCAAAGGTGGGGAAGTTGTACAGCGGGAGTTTAAATGATTTTCAAAAGTATCCCCGTGAATCGATTTGATATCGACAGACGCTTTTTCGAAAAAATTAAATCTTGTACCACTCTTGCGTGGTGAACTGTCACGCAAGTCGTCATCCAAGGATTAGGAGGAACTTTTCATCATCAGTCTCTGGCGAATTGGCTTTTTTGCTCCGCATCATCCGCCGTTCCATCTCTTCTGATTTCCGACACCCACTCAGGAATGAGACGTTTTTGTGACTTGATGGTTAAGTGGATGAAGCTTCTGTGATTTTTCGTGTGATTGCAGCTTTAAATTTTTGTGAAGTAATAGGCCTTAAAGTGTGCACTCTTCGCCTTGAATGATTCAAGTCAAGTCCAGTAAGCGGATATGAGTAGATTGGTAGACTTTTCTCTTTTGATTAATGGATCGCACACAAGACAAGAGAATAGAATGTAATAGTGCTTTGCCGCGTTATCATTGCAAGTGAATCAGAAGCTTCTCTATATCCCGTCGCTAGTAAAGCGGTCACGAAAATTCTTGGAAATTCGTGTGGAATCAGAAATTTTATTACCCATGAAAGAAAGAGAGCGACAGGAAGATGAGAATTACCAATAATAACTTAAAAATAGACGTGAAATAATCCATCCGTGGTGTGATGTGACCCCAGCCGATCTCGAGTGACACGCGTCAGAAATTATAATTTGAACCATCGCGCACCGGGTGTACTTAAAAATATTGACAAACATCCCTGCATTTGGCGATGACTTGGCGATATTTCTTGGCCGCACATGCTTTCGTTTCGCTCATTGAGCACCTCAATATCGAATATTTCGAAAGAAATTCACAGCCGTCCGTCCTGGGCGTGCAATAATGCTACTGGTTTCATGTCACACGCATTGGACATTGATTCAAAAATATCTTGCAAACTCAACATCAATTCAAGATTACGTTATCTAAAATTAATGATCATCAAAAGACGACAATTAAGCCCAATCAAAAGCCGAATTGTGATTTATCGCGGCGAGTTGATTGTACATATTTTGGAAACTCAGCCTATCGCGCCTATTAAAATAATCAATGCTAGATAGTGGGTGATATACGTGAAAAGTGGTGATGTCTATTCCACCGGCAATCTAGAAGCTCAATGGAGCGGCGAATGCCTCACTCGAGGAGTCTCAATCTGCCGACGGTTTAATTGCTGTCTTCTCCACGAGATAATCCCATGGCAAAAACTCACTCCATTCGCTGCTCGATGGGCTCCAAAGTGACACTCGTGAGAGGGACAATTGATCACAATGAATATTCAATTGATTGAGTTGAGCGGCTTTTAATAGATTTTTACCCAAATTCAAGATCTCTCCTCGAGGTGCACAGGTTCTGAGAGTGCGAGTGCGTTACATAATTGCTTCATTTGAATTCCAGGGGCTCATCTTGAATGCTACATGAGTGAGTTGGTAGCATAAGTGGCATCATAGTGTGCGCAAAATCAATTAACCAGATCTACATTTACTTCATGGAAATCGTAAATTGTGGACTTTGAAAACGGACGTTTTGAGCTTCATGGAGTTTTGCCAACGCAAGCAATCCTTTTGCTTGATTTATGTGAAATTTTATCACATCGCATTTTGCCGACCGGAAATCAGCAAAACTGCCTTGATCCTATATATATGAGGAAACGTGACACAAATTCATAGGTAATACTGGGGCTTGAATTTCATGTGAGTTAAGCAAATCGATCCTGATCCAGACCGGTGTGTTCTATTTGCACAGCGATTTTCCCTCTTTTTTCTCCTCTATTCTCTCCTTTTTTATCGCACAGACGCACACAATTTCTATACGCGACCCATCCAGGACAGGAGTTCACAGGCTGGAGGAGCGAAGAGAGCCACAAGTTCATGGTTGTGGCTTTCATTTTAGCCCATGAGTTTCTCTGATGTATTGTGGAGGGCAGAGAAAGAGGCGCACATTATGATTTTCATATAAATAACACGGCATAAAAGTTATGTGTTTTCAAAAGGGCGCCAAGCTGCTAAACCCCTCCATAATACCATCTCTTTCGGGGTTTTCCTCTCCCTCTGACACGCACCGTTCCCTTCCTTCATCCCGACGTTCCCGGATTGCACAGGACAGAAAATGAGAAAATAGAGCCATATACCGAGAAGGAAGGAGAAAACAAGGAGTAAATAGTGTGAAATGTTGGATATGAAAATATATAAGGGAGAAATACAGTGAGAGGAACAATTATTTGGACACTGAATGAATAGAATTCTAAGATCACATCATTTTTAAATTCAATCAATCTTGAAGTGATATTAGATATTTATTAGGTTCTTCTACTTTGAACTGATTTCTTTTGCAATTAATTGACAATCAGTTGCAACATTTCCTCACAATACTGTGAATTTGTCCTGGGGCTGCTGTTATGCTGAAGTAACCATAAAGTAATGGTCCAAATTGGGGGTTTAGCCGGGAAAAGGGACGAGAAAAAGCCTCTCTTAAGAGCAATGGAAGATATTTGGGCAAGAGAGAGTGAGAGAAGAGATCTTACAAGATTATTGTGTTTTCGTACAACACTAAATTTTATTGCGGAAAAGACCAATAAAAACAAATACCCAAATTAACACCTGAACAAATGAGTGGTCCCCGGAGAGGAGAGGAAAAAAGCGTAGCCTCTTTTAACAAATCCATTGATAACACCATGGAAGTTGAGCTCGAGTTTCTGGTGGATGACAATAATTTAATGGCTCCGAACAGCGGGAAAAAAGCGCCATAAGACAGTAAAATTAATTTTCACCTCGCTCTTCGGACTCGTTTTTGGCGGTCCTGGCGTGGCGTGTGGCGGCGAAGGGTTTTTCGTTATGGTGGCGCACAAGAGGAAGAGACTCACGGGTGGTCTCTGGTCAGATGCACTTCTCGTGATTTTATCCCAAATCATCGTGACGGAGGAGATACAGTCAAGAAGCCCAGCATCGAGGACACTTGAACACCTTTCAGTCATTCGTATCACATTCACTAAATTTCTCGTGTTTATATTCCTCAATCAGCCTCCCCATCAATGGACCAAGAGAGAGAGAGTCATGCGAAAAACTCGAGTGTCTTCCATTCATTGCTGTGTGCGTCTTCTTTCTGGCCTCTCGTGTCTTTATCTCCTCTCGCAGCCAAACTTCCCAAATATTGACGATGTCCAACACGACCTCCGACCTTTGTCCGTCTCTGGTATCGCTGCGGATTCATTCACATGGCCATGACTCAGAGGATCTCTCTCCCTCTGGCCCAGAGTTGAACCTCTTTACTGCACAGACAATGCACTTTATTATCGCACGCATGGAATATTTTTTCGTGGAATTCCGTCTGAAGTGCAGTGAAGAAGCACACCAACTATGATTGAACTCACTCACTATCCATCTTTCTATTGATCTTCTTCGCAATCAATTCTTCTTTCGTCCGTAATTTCTTGATTGCGCTGCAATATTGGCTGTCTCGGGATTGTCTGTGGTGAAATTTGACCATTTGTGCCTCGCAGTCACGCCTCGGGGAGCCTTTTGCAGACCTGCCGAAGTGACATAATGCGACGGAGGAGGGAAAATTCATTCATGATGTTGGTACAGTGGCTATGCAAATAGCATCAAATTGAGGAGTGATTTATTGTTTCTCACCCAGACAACTCATGATAAAGCCAGCCTCGGAGTTCAATGGAAGATGACTTCTATCGCCAAGAGCACGCTTTCTCCAATTCCCCGGAACAGTTGCATGACAACTTGCAATTCAGTGTGCATTTGGAAAAAGGAGTTGAATGTTTATTTAATTTTCATATTTTTTGCTGTAAAAGTTTATCAGCTTTCGACTAGAGCTTCCATCAACTGATAAAGACTAGCAATAACATGAAATATTCTAGATAGGTCAAGGATAATCCCGCTAATACACATCATTCTCTTAAGCTGCTATCAATTCCCGATAAGGCATAATGGCTAGATTTTTATATTGAAAATGACTTGTTTAAAAATCTTTATCGCAGCATTTGATTGTGTGCATTGTTGCATGTTTTGGCATCTTAATATTCAAATATGTACAAAACTTGCCACCCTATTTTAAGCCTCAGAAAACCCGCTGGAGAATAAGTAACAATTTATTTTGATGCCTCTAGGCAACAACAGCATCCACAAGTTGCAGCCAGATTCAATCCTCCCCTGTCTTCATGTTGCTGATTAATTTCATGAGACTCGTGGGAAATCCCCGGAAAAATCAGTGGAAAATCATGAGTGATTCCCTCATATTGTTGTTTAGCCTTTGTGTACATGTGCGGAAAAGTAATTTAGAGCACTCTTCCTTTTATCCCACTCAAATCCACCCCAAGGAATGCTCTCGCTGGTCGGATATTGGAACGCTCTGTGCCGGTGTTCTCGCCATCGGGAATTGAGGTGAGGGTGAACGTGTGCAAGATAACGTGTGCATCGTGTAAACAGAATTTCCTTGTCGCCCATATTCGACTGCCCCTAAAACGCGAGGGTTGTGATGGATAGCGATTTAATTTGTCCATTTTTTGCCGCCTCAATTGACGGGCGCATTGTGCATAATTCAAATGATGATTCAATTTTACATTGTTTGGCATTTTGTACTCGACGAACGGCGGCCGATGCGATAGAAAATAAACCACCCTCGTGTGGTGGTGGAAATTTTCTCAATTCAATTGCATACACTCCCTCTGAGGACGACACTGTATAAGGATCAAGCGCGGGAAGGCACTTGAGCGCTGGGTGTCTGTCGTGTCACTGCTCCTCTCCCTCCTTTACCTGTAATTATGATCATTTAGGAATTTTTGTGGTCACGTGCGAGCACAAGAGCACTCACCGATTTCCCTGTAATGCTGTCTTCATAAATTAATAATTCATTGGATTGGCTTTGTGTGTCATTTTCGATTTTACCAGGAGCGTAATCTTCTCCCGGAGGTCGCGTGCTTTTGCCACTCGTTTGACCCCGAAGCACCCTTTCGCTCTAACGATTTCAATTGTGAAAAATAGATAAAAAAGACAGGATTGACAAAGGAGGAAATTAGTGGAACTCTATTCTTGATCGTGTAATTTTCTGGCTCTTTTTTTACAGGAATAAATTACAAATCAGGGAGGAGCTGATATGCCTTGAATCTGTACACCACTCGCACACTAATTCTCAAATTATGAATATCTTAAATTCGTGTATCTTTTCCTGGAAAAATCATCTCTCATGATATGCCAATAAGCTCAAAATTGCTGATTCAGAGTCAAAATCGCCCAGAAAGTTGTCTAAATAAGCATTTTTCAAGTCAAAATGACTATTTTTGAGGTTATGTTTGTTCTCAGCACAATTTGCAGTGTTTCTTGGCATCAAAGGTTCAGAATAGAGATGTTAATTGCAAGCAAATGCTTTATTCTTGACTTGAGAAAAGAAATTGTTGTGCTAGAATGCGAATTATTCACTAAATCTGACTTTAATTCGTTACATAACCTAGAAAAAGGATTATGTCGATTGTTTCCAGCGCAAAATTCAAAAGAAATCCAAAGAATCTAGATGATTTGACAGTAAAAGAAGCATTGAGAAAAGGAATATTGTAGGGTTTTCTACTGAGCTGTACACCACTTCTAATTGTTTTCTCTCCCCCTTGCTACATATAATGATCAATGTATTTTCAAGAATATTTTTGACTACTATAGAAAATTTCTTGGGATTCTAAATCAATCAGTGAAGGATTGGAAAGGCGTTGCCCTCATCTCCAAGTTTTCACTCTCTAATCACTTTCTCAGGCAACTGCGAAGTGGAAGATTATCACGGAGATCCGCATATTGCGCGTAAGCCCATACAATTGTCAAGGGTTGCCAGCCACTTGCTCGAAGGTCTGATGGGTGATTTTGCCGAGATTAAAACTCAATCTTCGTGGAAATGACGCACACAAGTGCCTTTCGGTGGGTGGAATGGGATGAAAATTCATCATTGTGGTTGCGTGTACACTTTTCCCTCCCTGCTGGAAAAGTGCTGCTTTGTGGAATGATTTTGATAGGAGACCATCGAAATCGAATCGATTCACTTGAGAACAGCACACACAAAAAAACATATACAACATTGAAAAAGTGTGTGGAGGAGAAAGAGCGTTGACACGTGTCAGTTGAAGAGCTGCCGCGAGGAAAATAACAGTGAGCACGAAGTGAGAGGAGAAAAAATGATAAATTACCTTCCGAATAGTTATTTTCATATTAAAATATTCATTGACACAGTCGCGCTGTTTTTTTTGCTTGATTTATTGCATCACCACACATGGGAAAATCACCCAAATTCTATCGCTCGACGGGTTGTTTGTCGCAAAATGGTCTACCTCATTGCCACCCAGAGTCATTGGGGAGTCAGTAAATTCAAAGAGAAAACAGTGAACTTTCCTCGGACTCTCCGCACTTCAAATATTTGGCGACCTTGACCTCCCCGACTTTGACTGACTTCGATTGTCGCCCCCCAACATCGCCCCCCAATCGCAGGAGGAAAGTCACTCTCTATATAGCAAAACATGCTCCATTCACTCTGGTTGACTCTCGGTGACAGCTTCGCCTCTCACATTATGTCAATGGAGACAAATTTCCTCTTTTTTTACTTCAACTGCCGAAAACAAGTGCAGGAGTTAAAATAAATATTTTCCGGTTGTGTCTAATTAACAATTCAAAAAGAAATTCTGTTACTGCAATTCATGATGGATTCTGTGTAACATTCACTTGACAATGGCACCGAGTCGGAAATGTTTTTCAAAGGCGAAGGAGTGTTACTGGATGTGAAGAACATTTAAGGTACAATTGTCTTCGTCTGCGAGAATGCTGCGGAGAGTGAAGCCATCGAGGCAACATCGGTGGCTTCACGGAATGCCAACATTAGGAATATAAGATCTAAATATCTTCTAGACATTCCAAACTCATGATTTAATGAATTTTACAGCAAGAAAGGAAGTGTCTTAACTTAATTTTTGCTATTCTTATACGCACATTTCTCTGCATTTTGCAATATCTCGGCGCCAAATTGAGATATCTCCATGATCTCAACGGCATTTGAAAGACCATGAAATTTAGATAACATTTTGTCTTAAGGTAAATGTCTCAAAAATTGACAGAAATAGAGAATTCTTAGAACCAAAAGTTAAGATGTCCTAAGCTAATTTTCACTACTGTATCTTCAAGATTTATTAATTTTAGTTACATTGTAATTTAGTTACTAATCAAGTATTTTCTTGGGTACCAAAAACTGTCTTTGGACAGACAAATGCTGCATCATTTCCCTGACGAACGGCGCTCAAAATTTTTACAACTGTAATTTATTCATCAATTCTCAGAGTGGATGTGAATGAATCAACAGACACCATCAATAGTCACCTGACAGATACAAATTTTACGCCACTGTTTTACAGCCATTGTGGTGGACTGGCGGTGCAAATGAAATGGAAAACAACCAACTCTGTCTTGGTGAAAAGTGCCAAGAAGTGCCAACAATTGAGTACAGGTGAAAGATCGGCAGAGAGAGAGATGGGGAGAAAAAAGCATGAATGGAGTGTGTGGAATTTCTATCGGCACGCAGAAGATGCGCGCAAAATTAGCAGTAGTCGCAAGACAGATCGTTATTGATGTCTTATTATTCTGACCATCGCGAAGGTGGTTCTTGGGCGGCAATAAAGTTTATTACATCAAGTTCCTCTGGACAATAAGCTCTTCTGTGTGCGCCATCTGACCAGTGGCAAGGCTGGAGACAATAAAATCGATTTTCAAAAGACATGAAATACGATCCAAAGTTGTTAATGGATTGAGATGCGTACCCTCTCGAGGGGCATTTTTTTCCTGCCAAAGTCCTTATTGAGTTACACACCACCGATGGCAATTTACCATGGCAATTTTCATCAAAATACATTTAGATCGGATCCAATTTTCATTCATCCACTTACTAGAGCAAACATTGGGCGATGTGAGAAAGATGGAGCGAATAAGTAGCTCTGGAGGAGGTATTTTTGGGCGGTGAACCATTCCCGTTTTGCATTCTACACTCTCGCTCTCTCATTCTCTCCCTGAAAGGATCACAGGACGAATTAGCACGTTGTAAATTGGAGCACGTGCTAAGGGGGTTGGAATTGTGCATGCGTCTGCGGATGAGATGTGAAAGAGGTGCAAGAAAGAGTGCCTTCAGGACCACCCACACACTGGCCAGGTCCATCAACAGCCTCTCCAAGAGTGCCTTAAAGATACCGGCTATTTGGGCCATATAAGTGATCGAGGTAGAGAACATGGTGAGGAGAGTTAAAGAAAAACATTTTAGAGGAGTGAACTGAACCCCAATTCACCTTCTCTAACTAAAAGGTAAGAAGACGAGCAAAAAAAAGCGCTTAAGAACCCACTTTGAAGGGAGAGAAAAAAGGAAGAAATTTCTCAAGGAGCAAAAACAATCTGTTAAAGTGTTCTAAGCCTTTCCACCTTGCACTGCGTTTTCTGATGTGAAACAGCGCGCACCTCTCGAGGCCAAGGGAGAGAAAAGAAAAACAACCCATCGCGTCCCCAACAGAAAAACACCGCATCCTCAGCCCAGGTAATGCGCGCCCAAAAGGGCCCTGGATATTAATATGGTGTATGAAAAATATCGCTGAAGATGAATAAACAAACAGCTATGCTTACCAGAAAATGTTATTATAGCACCCTTGTGTTAGATTTTTATTATTACTATATAAGCATCATGTGTGTGTGGAAAAATTCACCAAAAGTCTTTCACCCGCATTCTTCTCTTCATTTTCGCCTCCTTGAGAAATGCAGCGCACACGAAATATTGGCCCTATATGCCCAATATTTGCTCACCCCATCCCCAAAAACCCTCCTCGAGCAGCGAGACTCGGCTTTGGCCATTGTCCACTCGACTTTATCCACCCATAAATGGTGCTGAACGGCCGAGTGGCTGAGGAAGAAAAATGCCTCGAGATTATCATCAATTAAGCAAATTGAAAATCACCGACTCTGAGCTCTGACAAGGATTTTCACATGTTATGCTAAGCATAAATGTGTGAAACACACAAATATGGATCAATCTGCAATTGTGACTGTAATTTTCAAACATGAACATTAATTATGTTTGCAGTAAATTCTTTTTAACACGAATTTACTAATTGAATACTTAAATTTTGATAATTTTGGTGAATTTCACTATTTTAACGAGAATTGAAAGGGTTGTTTTTCCTTATTACTTCATTAACAACCTTTTGTGTGATTGAGAATTGATTCAACAGTTTATTTTAGGATGTAAATTAGGTGAAAAATGCTTTGATTTGAAATTCTTGAATGAAGATCAATTTATTAATCAAAATACTGCAAATTTCCCTTCTGCTCTCACAGCAAATTAAGGCTCAAGAAGGAGACAAACTCCGCCAAGAACCCACTTACTGGGCCTCTCATTGCTCTTGAGATTGAAGGTCCAGATGTAGGTTGGTCCCCTCGAGCGATTCCTGTACAGAGGACACTCGTACACATCCTTCCTGTCCTGTTTCTCACTCAGAACTGCTCGCAAATAGACAACCGGAAGCTCATCCGTGAGCTCCATGAAAGTCGCCTCCACAATTCGTCTCGCAGTCACATCCCACTGAGCCCCATCCATGTGCAGACCATGAATATTTATGCCTTCATGGGGCGCCATCCCTATTTCAGTCTTACCATGCTCAGTCACCTCGCAATTGAGGGACATCCGGTCCAGGGCGAGACCATGGCGACGCGACGTTTGCTGCATGACGGCCGTCAAGAGACTCTGTGGGTTGAAGAAACCGCCCAGCCAGAAGACAGCCGGTAGATTGAAGCTTGATGTCCAGACCTTAAGAGAGGAGAAAATGTAAAAACTCAGCAAATGGTTAAGTGTTGTGAGCAAATATTCACACCTCAAGCACTTGAACTCGATGAAGCAGATCTGAAAACCAATTGTGAACACTGAGAAGACTCGGATAGGAAACTTTGACCCATTTTTCAGGGATTTTCCCACTGAACAGGGCATTTTCCAGCTCATCCATATCTCTGGACATTGTTAGCTCGCCCGAGAGTCCCATTTTCAGCTCCAGCAGTGATTTCCTGATTTCCCGCCAAAGTACGTTCATTCGCTCGCATTCTTGCAGTGCGACAATGGTGTAAGGCGTGGGATTCCGCGCTCTGGCCATGAGTTCCTCCAGCACAAAGCCGCTGTGGCATTTGTCCAGAAATTCATCCACAATATCGCGGACAACTTCCTGCCTGCTAGCGCCCTCTGTCGACGACGAGGTGACACTCTGTGGCTGAAGTCGACTCAGAACATCAAACATCTCGTTGGCTTTCGATGTCTCCACTACAATTTCCACATTTGGATGCAAACCATAAATATAGGGTGATTCGAGTGGAATATTGTCGTCAACATACTCATGATAATGAGTGTAGGATTCGAGATTATCGGGTGCATCGAAGCCAGGACAGAATTCCAGTTCATGATCGATTAGTGGTGGTCGAAGGAATTCCTGTTGAAGAAGAAGTTTCCCACACATTTTAATAGGAATTTTCATATTTTACATTTTAACATGCTGAGCGAGAGAAAAATGCTAATCTCTTATTATGAAAATGCTCATAAATATTTTTTCCATCCACACAAAAATCAACTGATTGAACAAAAATATATTCTCGCATGTTTTCCATTATTATAATGAGAATTCTTTAGACTTGTATTTGAATTTTTGTACTTTTTGACTTTATATTTGCATTTTTGCTTCAATTTCCTGACATTTCATAAATATAGACATCCATAAATTCTATACAGTTCAAAGGAAATTGAGTTTTTCTTTTAATGCTTCTGTCTGAACGTGACTTTATAGTGTTGTTGGTCTTTTTTTTGGAATCTCACCTGAAGGTACGCGTGGCAGAGCCTTTTGTCCCAGTCATCAGTGATGTGTCCTCCATAGATGATTTCCCCGAACATGTAGCGAAGGTCTTCCCAAGGCACAGGACGCAAGTCATCCTCCAGATAGTTCTTCAGCACGCTGGAGCTGAACGTGAGATCGCCATAGTTGAAGGGATACTGTCTGTTCCATCCGGCCGGTCCGAACTTCCGTCGCTCACCCACAATGGCGTGGAAGTAGCACATGGCGAAGAGGATGGCCTTGAACTCGCGCTCCTTGGGCGACATCTCCAGCGTGGCCTGAGTGAATTGATTGAGCGCCCCGTGGAGATTGGCCCTGATGCCGGACGGTGGCTCGTTCGTGACTTTTATCGCTGACTCAAGGATACCCTGCGGCAGGATGTTGTATTCCGCCACCTCTGCCGGTTCGGCACTCAAGAAGAGTCTGAAGGATTCATGAGGCTCCCGTGTAGCCTCATAGATGCGCTTCTCAAGGATTGGAAGCCACTTGGCAACCAAGTGAATGTTTTGCAGAATAACCCAATGACCTTCTGTTGCTCCTCGAGCAATTGCATCCTCAGCAATAGCTTCCTGACCCTGACCCAGAGATACGATGTGATAGTTTCCGGCATCTGCAGTGAACTTGAGCTGGTGGCCAAGTTTCTCCACCTCCATAATCGGATCCACGCCAGGTGAGAGGATAAAGAAGATGGGAATCATCGATGAGCTTTCCTGCAATAACAAAATAGATGTGTAATACAGAAACATCAAGATTATATGCTTAATACCATATAATGAACATTTTCAGCACATATTTTGAACATACACACACACAGTGCAAAATTATTACGCATTGCTATGCTAATGTGATGAAGCAAATTAGATTGGGAGACGTTGGAATTGACGCAGTAATCCCTCGAAAATTGGAACAGGAAACCACATGGTGAGCTCCTATATTGTCAATATTTATGTGCACTACCTGTCATTTATTCACCTTTTCGAGCAATAACAGCCTCCATAGAGAAAACCACGGGCAGCAAATCAACGCGCGTATATGCAAAATACATGGAGGGAAAATTTCACTGCCATGAATTGACACCCCAAAGCGAAACTGCGGGATTAAGCATGAAGACGAATCTCAATTAGGTCACAATTTGCAAGTGAACTCTCTAAACTCATCATCTGACGCCAAACATGAACTGGGATGCGCACGTAGTGAAATTAGCGTAACATAAACAAATCACACACAAATTTAATATTTATCCGAGGACTTTTTGCCACATCATCCACATGAAATTCAATATTATATAAACTTTTATGAGTACATGTGTGAATTTATGAAAGTTTTGGAAAATGTTTTGGAATATCACAGAGTGAATTTTGAAAACCTAACATGCACTTAGTGTGCATAGATGGCATATTAAATTATGGTATAAAATAATTTTCAGCTTTTGCTGTGTTATATTAAATATCTGTTTGAAAAAACCATTATGTTCCCATTAACCCTGTGTAACTTTTCATATGAAGTAAAATGGGATGAAAAGAGCCTAATAGAATGAGATAAACTGGATCTTAATCGAGTGCTTGTACGCAAACACATGAAATTGTGCAGGAAAAGTTTAGTCTTCATATGCGTTTCAATTGTAAATATGCAACATATTTAATCTGTGATAAAACAACTTTTTTCATACTGTTGGAATCCACAAATAATAACTCGACATTTGCATGTAGTTATGTTATGATTATTCATATAAATTAAAATGTAAAACGAGTTCATGAATGATTAATTCATGATAAGTTATGAATTCCATTGAATCTCGCGTGCCAGGAATTTCATAAAACTGAGCATTTACTATATATTGAATAGCACAAATGATTGAAATTATCAATCATGGGGAGAGAGAGAGAGTTATGATATTGGGTTAATTTTGGCATGCCTTCGTCTCTAAACTGAATAATTCCATTGAAATCCATGATTAAATTTTACCATATTTGCTCTCGCAAATAGTCAAATATACAAAACAATTTGCATGAGAAATTAGAGGTATACAAGTAATACACAGTATAAAATACAATTTACAGCATGTGATGAAAAAGTTTACAGTCGACAGTTAAGTGTCGAACACTGGAAATTCGTGGAAATTCGGAGGAAAGAAAGTGTTGTTTTCTTTTGAATAAAAATTTATAGGAAACAACATCAATCGAATTGAGACCATTTCTTGAGCTGTTTTTCGTCTTTTTCAACCTTCTTAAATTTCCAACCATATAAATTGGGAAAAAAGTTTTTCCTCTCTCACACACTAACACACACACAAAGAGTGTGACTTTCTTCTTCTGGCACGAATGGTCTTCAAAAGTCATTCCACATATTTATTCTGTCCATATTTACAAGTTATTTTAATGTTGGCCTTTGTACATCGTAGAAAAATCCTAAATTCTCAACACGTTCTATGTGAATTACCGTGTCAAAATTCCATGGGTTTCGGTTTCTTTTTCTCCATTCTTCCAACTTTTATCATTTCACATATTGAGAGAAATTGTTTCATATATTCTTTTTGAGGCCGCAACATCAATATATATATATAAAAAACAGAGAGAGAGAGAAGGAGAAAAGAGAAGAATTTCCACTTTCATCCATCGTCCTCAGTGTAAATAGAAAGTGAATTACATTTCGGAATAAAGATGAAAATATTCGGTACGGAAGACCAATTCAAAGAGTGCGCGATGGAAAATTGAGAAAACAATTTCAATGTGAAAAATCGCATCTGAGAGAGTTTGGTTTGATGAGATCCACTGGGAAATTCATGAGATTTCCTCTGAGGGTAAAATATCTTTAATTGCTCATAATCAAGTGAAGCATAGTGCAGCGAAATTGCTGTGATTTTCCCGCTTAAAGATGCTGGCAAAGAATCGCTGGCGAAAATTCGTCCCGCGGGGAAAATGTGAGAAAGTTGTGATGAATAAATAATGGAATATTTATGCTCTTTTGTAAGATAATTGCTTCGCATTCTTCACGGATAATTTCCACAATATTGGGTGGTTAATCATGGAATGTAGCATCATATTTAAAATATACAGCTTATTGTCATAGACACATTGCATAGAATTATTCGATGCTTTCAATTTTGCACTAATTTCAATAAACCCACAAAGAGATAATTGAGCGTTTGCAATAAAATGCAATTTACGTTCTTTGTGAAAGCAAAATACCAGAAGCATACAAGCATTATTATTCCACAATTATTATTATTATCTCTGCAGAGGCACACTCAATACCCATTTGTTCTGTAGATTCTGTATGTATAGAATTATTGTCTAAAATGGAATAGAGAAATAGAACAACACTAAAACATGGTGTATAACTTCAACACTTATTTCACTTACTTCATCTAAATCTGCTAAACGACACTTTATATACCCACAATTGACAATTCTAGAAAATGCATAACGAATAAAGTGATTGAATAACACTAAAAGTTTTCTCTCGAGTAGTATGGAAAACTTTAGAAATGTCAGTGACATGAAATTTAGTGTCTGAAGCATCATAAAATAGCATATAATGCAGCACTTCACAATGGTAGAAACTTATCATGAGAGCATCAGAGGGAAAATCGATGGTGCAGTCATGAATAAATGGTACTTTTAGGGCATTTGAGGCTTTATCACCTGGAAGATTTTCGACATTTCCGGCGGTGGGATGCTGCGGAATCTGGGCCCGAGTCTGTCGATGGCGCTCTGGTAGCAAGCATAAACCATTCTATCGGGCCGAATGACACGTAGAATGCACAATTTCTGCACGGAATTCATGTTGCGCCAATTGCCGGGGAATTTTTCATTCTCCGCCACCTCAGATGCCACAATCAGTCTCCACCTCTTGCTGGACTCCTCAATATCCTTGTCGATGTCACGGAAAGTCTCCAGCTCGGCCAGAGCACACATCCCACCCCAATTGGCATTGGTGAGGAAAGGCACGGGAGATTTAACTCCTGCCTTGGCAGGACAGCGCAGCAGGAAGCCCAATTCAATCGGATTGTACTCCTTGGAGTGGACATAGAGTTGCAGGAAGATGTGCACAAGGAGAAGCGATTTATCCTTCTTGAACATGCCACGACTTACAAATTCGTACACCTGAGGAGAGAGGAAAGAGTATTGATTAAAATTATATTCTTACGCTCTCTTGACGTAACACGTGGTGAAGAGGAAAACACAGAAGTAGGTGAGGAAATCAATAATTTCCTCTATAAGCCACTCAAACGCTTCAGTTGACAGTGGAGCGCAATGGGTCAGTAATTCATTGCACATTCTGAATTTCTATTGCTCTGTTTCCAGGAAATTCAAAAATTCACCTCTTGACCAACTCATCGATTTTCTTATTTCCCTGTAGAATGCCCAATTTTCTCTCGAATTTTCTGCCTGAATGTCTTTCATATATGCTTTCAATATACTCTCAAAACAATTCATAAATTTAAAAGCACATAATCAATTGATTTTCGTGTTCAGAAACACATTGAAACAAATATTAAACTCTTCAAAAGTCATAATATGTTGAATAAAGTCAAGGATAAATGTATTTTATCAACTCCTGTGTGCAAGTAGAAATCAATTACCTGATAAGTGATATTTTCAATCAATGCATTCACTCTTTCCCGCACAGTATCTTCCACTTGAGTGTCCAGGATGGCTCTCACGAAGACGCGCCTGAAGAGCTCCATGGAGTACTGATAGATTGGATTCACCCAATGCATGCCCTTGAGCACGAAGTACAGAATAGCTGCACGCTTAGCCACATCCCGGTATAATTCCCGAGCAGCTGTGATCTCCTTGGCTGTCTCACGTGCTTCTGCAGAGCGAATCTCAATCTCCTCGGCCAGCCTCTTATTGTCCTCCACATTTTCCACAAGTGACGAATTCTGGAGAATATTGCCAGTCTCACCAGACAGGCGCTCCAGCAATTTATCTTCGAGATCCTTCAGCTGAATCTTGAACTCATTCCGCTGCACAGTGAGCTGATGCTGTTGCTCCTCCAGCTCTGGACGCTCCAATTTTACAACATCCACCAGCAATTGGTCTTCCAAGCCCTCACGTGTCACGGTGAAATTAATTAGTGTGAGCTGTGCCTGCACTTCGGGCTGGTAATGCGGATTGGATAGCTTCGTCTGCAGGATGAGCCGAAAGGCGGGATTGTAGACAATCTCACGATCGCCAAGCATCACAGCTTGGCCACCTCTCGTGAGAACACGACCAAAGAGATTACTCAACATCGGATTAAGCGTCTCGTCCACATTCTCCAGCAGCAAAATACCACCCACTCTCACCACTTGCTCCACCACACTCAGACAGTCCTCAGCATCGAGCCGTGTGACCACCAGGTCGTCCCCGAAGCGCCTCCTGATCCACCTCAACCCCTGCCTGCAAGCCAAATCAAGAGCAAAACCCAATATCAGCATGTTGCAAGTGACATCAATGATGCAGTTAGTCAATCATCTTACAATTCGGGGTCAATTATGAGCGGCCATCGCACGCTGCTTAGCAAAATCATGGCATTATCCACTGACATTCTATCACTCGGCAAGCCCTCATTATTCCACTCCGCCACCATGGCGGTGTCACACACAATCAGGAAGGGATTCAGGTCCACCAGGTCCTCGCCCGTGAGCAGTGACGGCTGCAATGAAACGCACAAAACGACGGGTGAATCGAAAACTATGAAAAGTCGATTTATCATAGTTTTCGTCTTATGTTTTTTTTTGAAAAGCCTTTTATTTGTTCTTTCTGTACAAGAATTTTAAGATTTGTATCTTATGAGACAATAGAAAAAAATCTTATTTATCTAAATAGCACAAATGGAAAAAAATTGTCATGTTTTGCGAATGAAAAGTCGAATTTTCATTATTTACGCTGTACAATTTTTTCAAGAAAAATGTCTCAAAAATTGCAGTCAAATGCTTAAAACGTCTTTTTAGAAAATATTTGTAGATTTTCAGAATTATCCTAAAATGTTTTTTGGACTTTAAATGAATATTTCCCATATATTTTAAATTTTTTCACTTGAAAACATTAAGAAAAAGTTCAAATGAAGTATGAAAAGTTGATTTTTTGTATAAAATCGACTCAAAAACCATTAAAAATCGACTTTGAAAAGTAATATTTTCAGATTTTCTATTAATTTTGCCACATTTTAGTCAAAAATTTCAATAAATACTAATAAAACATTTACAAAATAAAAAATACAGAGCAATATTTTCACTTTAACGAACGATTTGAAGGCATTTTGAGTATTTTGAAGTAAATTTGGCAAATTTCGCAGCTGTTTTAATTGAAAATTTTGAACTCGCTTTGCTGAAAAATGGCGATTTTGACTTTTTATAGTTTTCGAGGCAACCGTCGAAAAGCACTTCTGTTGATTTATCAACTCAACTGACAGTCGCACAGAATTATATATTTGTTTTCAGCGCTTTTAAACACAGTGAAAGAGCATATAATAATTGGCATTGTCAAGCTGGGAAGATATTATAGGATAATCATTTAACAACTAATTTATGTTTTATAATTACGAGATATAATGATATGGAGATTGTGGTTTTGTTGGTCGGAAATTGACGGCTTTGTTAAATGCTTAAATATTGTTAATTGTCGTGACCAAAAACCAAAAATTGTCAATAAAATATGATATACAAAAGCAATTCAATCATTTGTGTAATGTAAATGTGGGTTCTTTGTCTACTTTCTGCACTCTCTCTCTCTTAATGAAAAAGCATTACATAATGCTTTCATGTGTCACATGGTTTGTTTATCTTATTATTCAGTGGCTATTCAAAGTAATTCTCTGCATTTTGGGGAATATTATCTCCATCAACACATTTCGGCTTGTTTCCAATAAAACTTTTATCTCACAGAGTCAAAGCTCCCCAAAGTATATATTTTTCATACGAACTGAGATATCTGTGAACTTTTATGGACTTCTTTTACAGCATGATTTGCTTCTATGATTTGATTATTGTGCTTATGTTTAGCCTTGTCAAACACATTCCTCTTTGCATAGATTTAAGGACAATGGCATTGAGAGAGAGTATCGCTTTAACGCAGCTCTGCTGTAATGGCATTTCATGGAAGTGTTGGTAATATTTTACCATTATCTGGGTAAATAATGCAATAATGTGAATCAATGCAGTTTCTCCAATGGCAATAAATTCTCAAATTGAACTTTTATAGCCGTAAATTGGAACACAATTGAGTGTGATGCATATTGCAATCCCCACTTTCTTAAGGGGATGTCAATGCAACCTTCGTGTGACCTTATTAAGTCTGGACTGAAGCGATGCAATGTGGCGCACTCGTTAGAAAAAGGAAAAGAATAAAATTCAATTCCTTCGATTTGTAGGGTAATTGCAAGAAGATTTCCCGGAATTTTTCCGTATATCAGAAGAAAAATATTTCATTCTATGTGATGTGTGTGAATTTTTCAGTGCAAAATTGGATTTTTAGAACATTTGAGATGAGCTTTTCTGATATGCTTCAAAGGCTCTAGAGAGGGCTTTTCAAATGACTCATTGGCAAGCAAACAAACAGATAAATGAACTCCGAGGGAGAAAAAGGCCATTCAGAAAAGCACTCGAACCTCATTCTCGTCCTATCGGTGTGGAGAGAGAGAGAAAAAAAGGAGAGCTCCATCATAAAGGAAGAATGGCGCTCTTAAAAATTCGGTACTAGAGAGAATAAAATTGAACTGAAAAAAATGTATTTTTTTTCTTCTCCTTCCGTTTTCAGTCACTCGGCCAATGAGTTTTGGGCGTGAATAGAGAAGCGGGAAAATTAAAACAAACCTCGAGAGTCATCAATGCCGGCAACCAGTAATCTGTAATGATTTTTTCACGGTAGCTCTGTGTGAAGCAGCCCAAATAGGAGATGAAACATGCACCAATTAGTGTATCCCCAAGAGTGGTATTCATTTGCTCGCGATACTTCACAATGAACTTTTTCCACCTCACACGCTCAGACGCCAGGCCGACAATCAAACGATTGGCCAAATCCAGAGCATTTTCTGTTCGATCCACTTCGTCCTGGCATGCTTTTTGCTCATCCAGAGCTAATTGTAGCTTGCTTTCCAGCTTCGATAGCTTCTCCTCCAGGACACTCAGTTTCCCACTCAACTCGCCTAATTTGGCCTGAAAGAGTGTGTTTTGTTGAAAATCTAGAATTGCTATTTTTTCCCAAGGGGGAGATAATACGTCTTAAATCTGTACAGAACTTCCAAACACTTTGAAATTTTTTCTAAACACTTCTAGAAACACTTCTTCTAAGTTTTCATCCGATATTTCTGTGAGAATTGAATTAAAAACACATTTTCGGATATCTTTTCCGATCATAACCTCAAAATATCACAAAGAGATCTTCAGAAATTCCATCTAGAAGCTTTCTAGATAACAAAATCATGTCTTATAATTTGCCAATGAACCCAAAATTGCTGATTTAGAGTCAAAATCGTCGAGAAAGCTCTCTAAATAAGCATTTTTCAAGTTAAAATGACTTTTTTGAGGTTATGTTCGAGTTTAATACAGTTTACAGTGTTTTTAGACATCACAAGTTCACAAAAGCTCTATTTATTGCATGTAAATGCATAATTGTGCCAATGTCAAGCAATCTTTTGGACTTGAGCATAAGAATTGTTGTGCTAGAATACTCATAATTCACTAAATCTGTCTTTTATTGTTTACATAACCCAGAAAAAGATTTTTATGGTTGATTCTGTGTGAAAATCGAAGGAAATCTAAAGGATTGGCATAATTTGTCTTGAATATTTTAAGCTTTTGAACACTTCCACTTCTCAAATACTTCTGCTGAACTATACACCACTTCTGAGTGTATTATCTTCCCCTTGATTCTACACGAAATTATATCCCAGAATCAATATTACCTGTTCCTCAGCCAGTTGCTTCTTTGCCGAATCCAGAGCAATTAATTTAGGCTTCACTTCTGAATAAACTTGATAAAATTTGTATATATTTATCACCCAAGCACAGAGTCCGGCAGCAGCTGATGACTTAGCCTTCATTTTCTCCGGCTTAAAGTCACGATTCTCCACATATGGCAGAATAGCAGAAATTGTCTCCTTCCTGATATTCTCCTTGTCGAAAGTCTTGAGCTGATTCAAGAAAGTGTCCGCTTTGCCCATCATAGCGCGACAAGCCTTCCAGCTTCTATCCTTGGGAATGTTTCCTTTGGCAAAGAGAATCAGGACGGCTTCAGTGACTTTCTCAACTCCTGGCGGAGGAGTGCCGAAGGACTTCAATTCGGTCAGATTCTTCTTATCCAGCGTATTTAGGGCTTCTTTCGCCTGATTTATGGCAGGTTCCGCCAGTTTCACTTCTGCTTCACATTGACGAGTGGTTTCGGCAATGTTTGCCTCAATTTTCCGCACATTTTTCTCCTCTTCGGCCACATTTGCTCTATCGAGTGACACCACAGCGTTTTCCTTCTGCAAGAACTGAAGCACAATGTCCGCTTCGTCCTTCTTCTGTGTCGTCGTGGCTTCCTGTTCTGCCAGGGTTTCCTTGAGGACATCCACTTGAGCTGTGCAGGCATCCAGTTTGATTAATCCCTGATCCAGACGATTTATCCACTGAGTTATTTTCTCCTTTCGCTCACGAAACAATTTCCTGGAAGTGAATGAGAGATAATTAGTGTGCAAAATTCCTGCAATTGCGTCACAAATGGACAGAAATTTCTTCAACAGCTTAAGCTAATTGAAGTGAAAATTTTCTTTGCACTTTCAAAATAATACCTAAATATTATGCAGCCACAATTATCGCAATAACTCCAGGAAGTTCATCAAGAGTCACATAGAAAGAGACTAACAAAATTTTCTTTGAAATTCTCTTGCTCATACTTTTCATGTTGGAAAATCTTCTTGTAGTGAGGCAAAACTTTAGAAACTTTCAACAATGTTTTGTTAATGAAATAGCAAAGATTTCGTGACATTTTCTTCTGGGCTATTATTTGAAAATGTTTGAAAGTGTTCTGAATTTCTTTCCAGAATATCAGAAGAAACTTTGTAATTGATCGTTTGTGAAAATAGTCTTCTACAAATTTTGAATACATTTCCAATTGTGCTGAGCTTTATTCACACAGAGAGAGAAAGAGAGAAGAATTTGCGGTGAAATAATATTCAGCAAAGCTTCTCGTGAAAACGTATATCATTTTCTTGTTAGACGAATAAATCCAACGTGAAATATATGGCTGTTGAATAATTTCACGGAGACGAAGTGGAACGTGATGTGGAACACAATCCTTACTTAAAAGATGTGCTTTCACTGTTTTTTTTCTTTTCTTTTTGGAACACTGGTGGAGAAATTATTGGTGTTTTCTTACCTATAGAGATCAATGGTATCGAGGAAGGTTTTTGGCGTTGTGTAGTTGAATCTCTTTTCCGTTTCTCGATAAATTGTCGACACTTCATTGACCGAATTGTGTGCCTTGGCCAGGAAATTGCTCACAGTTCTCACATACTCATGTGGCATCAAGTCGAAGGCGGTGAGAAATCTCTCTGCCACTGAGACAAGAGCCTCCGTTGGCCAGTCATGAAACCATATAATGCGACAATTGCTGAAGATCCCGGGGAATTTCCGAGCTCTCTGGCGCAAAGTGCCGCCGACAGGTGACAAGCAGAGGATAATTTTTAGATTGTTGCGAACGCGGTCGATGAAGAAGCGCCAGCAACTGCTTCGATCCTCACCAAAGCCTTGCTGCTTCGCTGCCGACCTCACTTGCTGCACAATCTCATCCACATCCTCGGGCGGTAGCAAATTGACACATTCTCCAGTGGTGAGGATATCATTAATAATCATGACAAACTCCTCAGTGGGAATTTGAGCATCAGACATCATTAGACAGCTCTTGGTGGTCTTCACTCCCGTCTTCTTGTACATCACAGCCAAATCACCCTTGAATTCCGCCACGCCATAGTCAGAACTGCAATATTACAACACTCCATTAACATCTCAATTAAGTTCACCATTGATCGTTGCTAGAACGCCTGTAGTTTATGCATAGATTGGTCAATGAGGTATCTTAATTGTGCCATTTGACCTCGATTTTCTACCCATTAGAATACCACATGAATCACATCCAGTGTTGTGATTACAATGAGAGGGACACAAGATATCCTCCAGAGGATAAAGAGGGTCCATTGAGAAAATGCGAATTGCAAATGATGATGAAAAATTCATAGTTCAGTACTTATTTTTAGAGAGACATTCCATAAAAGGGTATTCATTATAGATGGAAATTAATTTTACTTCGTCTTCTTGAAGATTTGTAATTACTTCAGCGAATATTTGATGTGTTGTCCAAGTTTTATTCAAATTTCCGCCATCAAATCATTTGCAAGTTTGGAAACATGATGATGTTGTCTCAATATATTTGCTTTAAGAGAGAAATAGAGCGTAAAAACAATCATCTCTAAAATATTTGAATATCTCCTTTAGAGGAACCCACAAAAAAGCCCTATAATAATTCCTCTGAAAACAATACAATTAATAATTGAAGTACCTTAAAGAGATGATTATATGAACAATTAGCTGGAACTTTTGTAATTTACGCTTACATTGTGGAAAACTATATATGAAATAGTCGGCAAATACAATGCAGTGCAGAATCTCCAGGAAATAATACATTATTTAGTTAAAACTAGGTCAAGCGTGTGTTACGACAGTGCGCTTTACACATCTAATTTCAACCAACTAATTTGCTAAACGTGCTTTTGTGTGCACCTCAAATGCTCCACAGATGCGAAAATGCTTAAAATCATATCAAATTTTAATTTTCACTGACTGGCGTTAAACACAAAGCACGCTTTCGCTCATCCATCCTTCACTAAGCGCTCTGTGTTAAAAATTAATCATAAAATTCAATGTGTGTGTGTGCGTCTTGTAAAGCGCTGAGTGGACATTTAAATTCACCTCTCATAAAAGCTCTTGGCGGTTTTTTTTTTGCGGATGGGCGCTGGGGAAAAAATAAGTGGAGATATTCGAGAAATGTCACAAAACTCACCTGAGTTGAATTTGCTCAACCGGGAGGGATGATATAAAGGCACTGAGTCGCGTTAGCGACCTCTTTCCAGAGCCTCCAACACCCACAAGCATGGCATGCCCTCGGGTGGACTCCAAAATGCGAATTATGCGACAAACATGGGCCATGGCGTCCTCAAAGAGCACCAAATTCGACGCCCCAACAATTTCTCTGTAGTTCACTTGAGCCTCCTCCAGCAATGCGTTGAGATGCTGCCAGGAATCCACGGCCGAGTATTCGGAATCGTTGAGACTATTGGCATAGTGGAAATACAGCAGAGGATGCGGAAGTTTCACATCTTCGTCCATGTAGTCCTTGGCCTTCTCCACTGCTGTGGCAATGAGATTGTCAAATATCCTGAGATCCTCACGAGATACTAGCTTATCGGCGTAAACGCGGTGAAGTTCGTGGATCAGAAGCTTGAAGAAATCTTCCTTCTTCGGACAGGTTGAATGCCGAGAAAATATGAGTCCTTGGAAGACATTCGTAATGTCATGAAGGTTGAAATTGTAGTGGAATTTCGTGGAAGTTGGCAAGAATATCTAGCATAAATTGTAGAGAATGTTCTCATCATTAATTAAATCCTCCCCATGAGTTGAACTTAACAGCATTAGCATAGGGAAGAAGATTCATCTTGCAGAAGGCACACAATGACTGTGAATATTTACTCTACCTGACTAACTTCCAAGTGGAAATCCATAATGCTCTTCACCACATTCGTGCAGATATTCTGGACAGGCTGTGTGAATTTATTGGCCTTATTTTCCAGATGCTGTCGCAGAATCGAAGAGTAGATGAACTGCAGGTGAGCGCTTGAAGGGAAATCGAGTGCAACGGTGGCGAAGTGTCGCTGAAGACGTGGGTTGATTGTGAAAGAACCCACATTGGGATTCATGGTGGCGACAACGGAGCAATTCTGTATATTCTTAAGGATGTACTTGTCACGCTCATACCAGTGGCGATAGTCGAAAAACTGTCTGAGGAGTGTGTGAGGTGCAACTGTGCCATACAGGTCAACCTGTGGCAAATTGATGTCATCCACAAAATAAATCAATTTCCGCCCATTCCTCGGGGTGAGAGATCGTGCTGAGGTTCTCTCCAGCTGCATCTCCAGTGACTCCTGGAATCCCCTTGACGTCGTATACAAATTCACTGGGATATTTGCACTCATATAGTCACTCGGGAGGCCACTCAATTGTCTCTGCACCACCATCGTCTTGCCACATCCTCCGCCGCCGACAACCATGGCCGGATGACCGGCATGGATGAGGAGCCTGAGCAAATACTGCACCCTGGCCGTGTCTTCCGTGTCAACAAAGGTCATCTGCAGTGGGATTTCTGCATAGAATCTAAATTCATCCCTCAGGCAATTCCACAAAGTGAATTTCTTCGTGTCCGGATCGATGTGGTAATCAAATATTGTGGCGTCTGCACTGGGAAATTTGATTGTTTTAAATGTCCTCACCCACCATCGATGAAACTCCAAACGCCAATCGCGCTGCTGATCTCGAAATAATGCTCCACCGAAGCCCCAAATTGCAGCGAATACGAAGTACATTTCGTACCTGAAATCATTCGATCATTGCATTGATTTCTATATATAAATGAAATACACAAATAGATGTGATAAAATATACAAGTCAAAGACCACACTTTAGAGATATAATTAACCACATTTCACTGACAGATGCTTCGGAAGAGTTCAATATTTCTACCACAAACAAAACCACTCGTGAACATTATTTAGTACGTAGTTTAGTTGCTTTCAATTAATGCGAAATAACTTATCGACAAGCATGGATTCGAAATGTGGTGTCAGATATCTATCTGTATAATCCATTAATGCTGTATTGATTAGAATTTCAACTAATAATTCATCGTCGCTATTTTATTTAAAAATTGCGCGTTTTTGCCAGTAAAAATGAATTAAATATGTAGCTTTGAAATATAATCTTGGATCAGGTCAAGTTGAATTTATCACTCAACTAATATTATCAGCGGATAAGTGACTCTATTGTGAAAATTCCAATATTGATTTGTAATACAATTTCAATGCAAAAAGCTCTGATATTTGTGTGTACGAACAAATTTTCGCTTTCTCTCTCTCTCTCTCTCTTGAAAATTTAATTCCATTTTATTCATATCTCATATTTTTGAGATGTTCTCCAATTGAAATTATGGGCGAAAAGTCACGTTTTACACGTTTCCACAAAATTCCATTTCTGATTTCATATCTCAATAATATCATTTTCCACTCCATACTCCAAAACAGATATTTTATATGAAAACGTATTGCTATCTTATGCAGAAGTTTCTGCAAAGTTAAATTTCCCAGCAAAATCTCTCTCTCTCACAAAAGCCGTTCTCGTCTAATTAATTCAATTTGCACACTTTTATGTTCAAAGAATGTCCAATTAGTGTTTGATTTTGCGACAGAACGTGCAAAGTCACCAAAGAAATCGGATTGGCGGACTTTTTGTGTCTGGCGCGCACAAATTTCAAAGAGAAGAGCGGTCTTAAAACGGGAGACAAATGCTACAGACTTTGCCAACATGTTTGCATAAAATCCACCCTTAAGACGCGATTCCCCACTGTGTGGCAGATAAAGCGTTGAGATTTATGCAATTCACTAATTGGTCTCTTGGATGTAATTTGGTGGAAAAGGGTCGGCGCACATTGTGCTATCTCTTACCACTCGTTGGGGCTGTTCTGTGGGACGTTCTCGCGTGTGAGGAGACTGTCGAGGAGGCTGCATGTGGTGTGAACGAGGGCGACATCCACAAGTGGGATAATGGTGGTGAATCTCGTGTGGAGGGCCTCGAGAATCATTGGGACATATTTGTTGAACAAGTGACTCAAGATGATCTTTTCGGCGTCACTCTCGCGACGCTCCAGCCACGACACGACGAGGGGCTGATAGCCGACGTCTCTGCTGTTGATGTAGATAATTCCAGCACGCGATACTGTGGCCGGAGTGGCGGCTCGCAGATGGCTAATCTCGAAGAGCAGCCGCATGGATGGTGTGAGTGCGATTCGCTCGTTGTTTGCCAATGTGAGCACTTTATTGTCATCCATCACGGTGTTGAGACTCTCAATCCACATCGGATCAATGTCACCATCGCAGACAATCCACTTTGGACCCACATTCGACGCATACGCCTGATCACGCATAATAATTGAGAACAATCCGTCCTGCCATTCCCGCGTGCCGGCATTTACAACACCAAAGAGTTCGTCATTTGTCACAGCTTTTGGGTTCAAGTCATCGTACACAGGATCACGCCCCAATCGCTCGTACGTTCTGAAGAGTGTCTTCCACACGCACGATTTTCCCACCCCAGCCGCACCGACAATGAACACCGAGTGGCGAATTTGCAGAATCTCCTCCAATTCCGTCACCTTCTGCACAAATCCCGGCTCTGGCTGGAGACTCAGGTCGACTGTGGCCATCTTCACGATCTCCTCAAAGTCCTCATTTCGCTGTCGCGGAACGTCGAGCGCCGGGAAGAGATCCCCAATGAGACCCAGAAAGACTGGAGTGTCGTCAACGGTGATTTTGGGTGTGTTGAAGTCCCTCAAGGCTCTCATGAGAATCTCATCCTCCGACCGATCAGGATCTGCACGTTTCAGAGATCCTGCCACCACCAAGACAGACTTCACGGCTCTCAAGCCCCAATCATAGTGATCTTGCTTCGACAGTAGCTCGCGACACATCGAGTAGAGGCTGATGAACTTCCTTGCCAAGGCTCGAGCACTCTGGAATCCCTCGGCGACGAGAAGGATTTCGCAAATCAGTTCAATATCCGGAACAATCATCGAGCAAGGTCGGAAGAGTGCCTGTGAGTTGAAAGGAAGATTTTTCTCATGTTTATTGACAATTTGGCATTATTCCTTGGCCTGTTTGAGATTACAATTTTGCATTAACGCCAAGATATGTAGAATATGTGTACCTCTTATGTGTATGTTAGGTGTATGCAAATCCTCTTAGACTAATATTACATCCTATATACATACAGGGGTGAGATTACTCTATAGAGAGAGATTATAAACACCATTGAGTCGCTTCTTACTTTATACAAAGTTACGCGAATTTAATACCCAGGACAAATAATGAATTGCGACAATATTAGGACATTAAATTGCATGTGCTTTTGTGAAAGATTATCCACGATAAATTACATTTTCTAATGGTCTTTGGGAGTGAAAGTCGGGGGAAAAAAAATGTGGCATGAAGAAAAAAAGTTCAGTGAGAAAATCATCTGGGTCAAACCTTTAAATTTTCCGGTAGTTCAGTTCGACCGGCATAGCCGGGATTCATTGTGATGAAAATTCCAACAGTTGGCACCAATTTTATCGTCTCTCCGAAGAAATTGAATGTCGTTCTGCCAGTCTGCAGTGAAGAAATAGAGGGGAGATTGTCAATGAAATTCTTAGGAATTTTTTCTTCTTTTCCTCTTCACCCCCAGTTGAAAAAAAATATATACACTTAACATTTCTGATGCGGGGAGAAGAATAGAGAGTGTGTATATTTTTTTTTTCAGCATGGCCAAACATTACCTTTAAGGCGTCCAAGATGGTTTTCACCTGAATTGCCACAACTGAAAGGACTTCCACGGAGATTCGATTGAACTCATCGAAACATCCGAAGGCACCCGTTTGAGCCAGACCTTTGTAGATGTTTCCACAAGATTTATAATCCATTTGTTCCGAACAATTAAACACGTACACCATCATGCCGAGAGCCCGACCAAGATCCTTGGTTGTTTCTGTCTTGCCAGTTCCGGCCGGTCCTGCCGGAGCGCCGCCCATGAATAAGTGGAGACTCTGCAAGTTTTTTTTTTTCATAAATCATTATATTGATTCCACCAGCGCACCCATAAATGTGCTACAAATGGTGTACACAAGGGAGGAAAAGTGGAGCGTCATCCTTCTTGACTTGTGCGGATGAAACATCTTAATCAAAGCGCAACTAAATGGCTGAGCAGCCATATAAAAATCTCATATTTTTCACAAGTACATCACATTTTTCTTCCACCATTTCAGGGCATTTTGCAAGGAAGGAGTTTTGCAAAGTCAATTAAAACACAATCGACGTGACCGAGAAGACTGGAGTAAGAACAAACATGAAGAGGAAGTGTCTGCAGTGGCACTTAAAGAATTACTTCCTCCACTATTTTAGCCTCTTCACCACCAATGTGTGCCTCTCCATTAGACACAAACCCCTTTATTGCTGTTGTGTGTAAGTAAAGTTATTAAAAGGGATTTTCCGTTCGAGATAAAAATGCATTACCATCGTCCTTGTGTCAAATTTGCGCAAGTGACACAGAAAAAAGGGCACTTTATGCATTGCACTCTGCTGTGCTTACGTTCAACGTGAATTCGTTTCCTCGCCAAAATACCATTACACCTTTAAGACTACCTCGAAAATGGAGCGTGAGATTATTTTTATGGCTGTGAAATTAGCTCACGATTTTAAGCTCTTCTACATTTCCCACTGAATCCTCATAAAAGGGGGAAATGAATTAATTTTGATTTTTATACTAATTGAAAATTAAATATTCTACTGATTTTTTTCTCTCTTCTTTTTTTTTTTGTAAAAAAAAGTCACATTTCAGACCATTTTTTTCGGATACATTTCGAGTGAGAAAATTGAATTATACATTGAAACAGAATTACATAATTTATATGGTTGTAAAATTTGCTGCATATCCAGAAAAAGCTTGGCGATTTCAAAGTGCTGAATTATGAGAAAATTTTCCTCTTAACATAACACTTTTGTGAAGTATAATTTTCATCACTTATTTCTCTGCGCCTGTCTCTGGATTATTTTTCACACAAAAAGCACAACAACATCACTCAAAGAAACATTTACTTCTCTGTGTGTGTTTCATTATAAACGATATATATGGAAGTTCTGATGTTACAATGCGATGTTCTTTAATATATTTCCCAGTTTCCCAGCACTCAAAGTGAAAGTTGAAAAGTTCGTGAAAGAGCAAAACTTTCTGTCGCCACCTCACAAAATGCGACATACATAAATTGAGAAATTTACAACTATATGTACATATTCATCAAATGGATAATTAGAGTGCAGATAATTAAGCTAAAGCTCCACTGTCGCATGAATTTTAATTTCCAAAATTGCATCCTGACACGAATGCCTCTGTGATATGTCAAGGGTTGATTTAATTATATGCATTATTATGGTTATTTGTGGTTGTGAAGTCAACGTAATAAATATCCCTAAATATTACTACGTAAATCTCATTGAGAATTCATCACTTAATGATCATTATTTCCCCAGTCAAGTCTCCCAGTCATATTTTAATGCTTAATTTAATAATGCCACAATTTGTCCCCACTCGCAGCAAAGGATGTGGTTCAATGGTGACAAAATGATTGAGGTCATTTTAAGAATAATTTTTTTTTATGCTGGATCAATTTATGCTAAAATGGGTCATAATAATAATAGACAAAATTCACACTTTCTGTTGTTCTGTCCTTTTGCATTTATTGCACTGCATATAAACTGATTTCATGGTGATTTAATTTCAGATAGCCACTCTTTTTCCAAACTAAAAGTCACGTCAAGATTTATTAACATAAATATGGACATAGCCTAAATTTCACACAATCAATATTGATTCGGGGGCGAATGGCTGTTCAACTACCGGTTGCTCAGCTGCATAAAAATAGCTGATGTGCACTCGGAAAAATTGCACTTTTCGCAGTGAAAATATTAGATTAGTGTAATTACAAATTTAATAAATCGATATGAGCATGATTTACAGGGAATTTTCACTTTATAGGAATTTTGTGGTTGTCTCTTATCTGCTCCATTTTTTCGGAATATTTAATTATGTTCAGTTCAAAATTGGGTTATTTTTTTACAAGCTTGGGTTATATTGGAAATATGCGCATATACAGTAGCGAAAATTAGCTTATGACACTTAACTTGTGAACAGGATTTGAGTAGCGTTCAAAGGTACCTAAAAACATACAAAAAGCAAGTTTACAAGTCCAAATCAAGACGCCTTATGATGCAAATATCTTCTAGACGCTCTAAATCCATGGTTTAATGTGGATTTAATGGGTTTACAGCGAAATAAACAGTGTCTTAACTTAATTTTCGCTGTCCTTATGCGCACATCTCTCTGTAATTTGTAATATTTCATCCCCAAATAGAGATATCGCCATGATCTCAACGTCATTTGAAAGATCATAAAATTCTGATCATTTTTCATCTTAAGGTAAATGTCTCGAAAATTGACAGAAATATCAAATTTTTAGCACCAAAGGGAAAATTGACCCAAAGCTAACTTTCGCTACTGTATGCAATCTTCATGTACATATATAGTGTGTTGTATGCTTCAGAGACTGATGCTAACCCCTAATTGATGATATAGGCAACTCACCTGAGTCAGAGTGATGTAGCATTTGTCGGTGAGCGGCGTCACCACAAGTCTTGGCGTATTTCCCAAATATTCATGGTCATAGGGAAATTGGGCATCGCAGATGTTAGCAAAACAGTCATTAGCATCTTCATCCCATCTATGTCGCAGCTGACTCTGCCACTGGAAGGCCGTGACGCTGTCGATTCGGTCGGCAATTAGTTTGGCCACAACATCTCTCGAGTGAACATCGATTGTACATATTGTCATGATTTTCTGCCGCTCGGCCATTGTTAGTTCGCCAATGAGCATGTTAATTAACTCACTCAGCTGCTTCTTCTGTCTCTCCTGGTAGTTCTTCATGGCGTTCTCATTGCCCTCTTCCAGCCACCTAAACGCCCTCTCCACCTTTGCGGCCCACCAGATTTGGCTGGCGCAGAGAGCTGGCTGTGCTGGCCAATCGTGCAGCCACTCGTGTCTCGGTTTGTCCCTGTATGCCGCCACTGCCTGGCCAAGGACATGCCTCAGTGTTCTCCTCATTTCACTAATAAGGGTGTTTAGCCACACTTCCACTGCCCCGCTGCACTTGAAAGCGCCCTGGAATGTCACACACTCATCCTCCTTGGACACCATCTGGAGTGCGTCAACGCCTCGCATTTCCAGGGTTTTTACGGAATCAAAGAGCTTCGGCAGGTGCCGAAAGACATCCTGAGCATTGGCACAAGTGAGAATGTCCAGTAAGTCTGCGGAGGAAATAAAATAGAACCTCGGAAAGTCCTTTCTCTTCCCTTCCAAATACTCATTCAACACCTTCTCAATGGCTGTCAACTCTGTGTCTGCATTCTGCAATTCGGACAGCAAATTACCATAGCTGGCTATCTCAATGGTCAGTTTATTCTTGCTCAACTGACCAACGAGAAGCCTCAATTGACTGGCTACAGAAGCAAATTTACTTGTTTCACCAGGAATTTTCACACGTATATCTTCACTCCACATGAAAATGCCTTCCATATAGATCCACTTTCGCTGTATTTCAAACCAGAGGTTCAAGATTTTGGACAAATTGTCCAGTTTTACTCTCCACATCTCTGCATCTTTTGCCATGCCACCAGCAAATCGAGAGTGCACGATGTTGTGCAGTTGCACCAGATGATTATCGAGCATCATAAACATCTCCTCATTCCATTTGGGCAGCTGAATTTTCATTTTCTTCTCCTCCTCGTAGTCCAATCTGTGCTTGTTCCAGAATTCTTTCACCACAGCGAGATTCATCTCAATGTACTGCTCCTGGACACTCTTCTCCACAATATCATTCACACTGTCCTCAAATCTGTGAAATCCATAATCGAGGATATTTTGCAGTCTCGTGTGAGGCTCAATTCGCACATTCTCTCCCGTGATGTCCCTCAACTCATCCCAGTGACGCTCCTTTATCGACGACTCGTGCAAATTCATCACTGTCCTGAGGGACGCCATGAGACTCTTCAGCATTGACTCACAGTGCAGAAAGGGCTCCAATTGGTGTACTGATTTATCGAGAGTCCTGAGATACTTGAGGAAGACGCGACACTCCTGATCCACCTCCTCAAGATTAATCACCGACCACAGCGTCATTCGCCACTGCGCCACAGATCCCTCAATCATCGCCACAGCGTCCCACAGATGCTTCACATTTCTCAATCTCCTCCCAATCTCAGTCATATTATCTCGCTGATCGAAATTCATTCCGAAATCACTATACAAATTTACCAATTCATCGTGATGTCTCCTTCGCTCCTCAATCCCAGCCATCCATCCATCCAGACTGTCGTAGACATTTTCACAAGGATATGTGAAAACCTGGAGGAGAAGAATGAGTTATCCATGAATAAGTTGCACTATGTTTGACAGAAAATAGAGGTGTTTTCTCTATTATAAACTTTCATGATATGAAGAATCTCATGCGAAAGAGACACTTCAATTTCAGACTCTTCCAGGAAATGTAAATAAGAATACGTCAAAGTACAAAACTGAAGAATTTGATATTCAATTCAACTATGAAATTGAAAAATTTCATTGCAAATGTGAAGATCTTTTGTCAGTTGCATAAAAATATTCTTCTATTTATTATGCAACTTGTGAGAATAGAGATTTTAATTTAATTTCATAATTCGTACGACAATTTCTGCAATGATTGAGAAAACAAACTTGTCTATATTTCAGTTGGAAGTTTCGTATTTGATTAAATTGAAATTCCAACTTAAAGTTAAGATAGAATTAATTTGAGAACTCTCTAGACGATGATAATCCTAACAATTATTAGAGAATTTGTCGAGAACAATGTTGAGAAAGTTCTTATTTAGATCTCTGTGGAATTTCCTTGTTTATTTATAGACTTTTTACCTGTGATTTTTCACAATTCTCTGTGAACAATTTTAATCTCATCACAAACAATTCTCCCATCTTCCTTGTCATATCCATTTGGTATTTCTGTACACTCGTGATGATCTCCTTCTTCTCCATGCTCATCAACTTCACAGCCATCCACTCGGCGGGCAGAGTTTCCAGCTGAAAGGGGTGGAAAAAGGAGAAAGTGCGAGGTGAATTTTCACAATTTTCATCAGCCATGAAAATTACAAGTCACACTGTAATTGCATGAAAATTCAAATTAATTCATCACACTCTCTTTACCATTTCCAGGATATTTTCCTCAATCTGAATATTCATTGATTTCAGCAGCTTCACAATATCGATGAGCGGATTAAACATCACACCATTCTCCTCCTTTTCCCGCTCATTGGCAATTTTCCTCTGTATCTGCAGCACCCTCTTCAATTTCTCAAAATCCCCCAAATCAATTTCCTCATCCAGCTCACGCAGGGCGGCGTCAAAAAACGCTTTGTACTGCCGCAGGCTCTCGTCAACATAGCGCTGAAGCTCAGCCTTCAGCAATCCTGTCCACATGTTGATGTGTTGCAGGAGATCTTGTTTCAATTTTGACGAATTCACAATAAGCCAACCTTTGCATATTGTCCTTGTTTGCCACTGAGAAATTGTCTCATGCACTGTTTGGAGTCTGTCAAATTGCACTTTGTAATCATTGTAATTTTGATTTTCATCAAATTCCAATTCACTACTCGTTCCGGACGGTGATGTTTGCCAGAAGGGTAAATTCACTCTATTATGCACATAATTGTGAATGTTATTGGCCTTATTGGTAATGAGTAATTTCTCATAAGCACCATACATGTCATAGCACTCATTAACACTCTCCATCACACTCGCTATCAGACCATTAATGAGCTTTTTCACCTGTTTCAGCTCACTTATAGATGGATATAGTGACCAGAATGTGGGAATTTCATCTGAAAATAAGTCAGTGATGGTCTTTAAAAGTTGAGAACTCTATGAGAAATCAATCTTAGCTACCTTCAGACGTTCTTTCCTTCCAACTATCGTGATTAACGCGTACGATTAGTTTGAGAAGACTTGCAATGTCATGAATGACTCCAGAGAATCTTCTATAGAGCCCAGATGGATTGTTAATCTCCATCGATGGCTCGAATATGATGAATTCACCTTCAGCTATGAGATTTATTTCAATAATTGGTGGTTTCTCCTCATTTCTCGCATTCGTGAACTCATTCTCCAGGTGATTCAGACTCACCCTGAGAATCTCACCCAACTGACGATAGAGCATTTTATCAATAGAATTTTTATACATGATGAATGCATCATCAGTGGAACCAATTTTCTGAATCTCACTCCAATAGTATTGAAGTCGTTCACGAGCAAAGCTATCGATGAACATGTGATTGAACCCATTGACGAAGTCCCTCCTCTTAGGATTCTGCAACACCTCCTGACTCCTCTCCCCATCGATGTACAGTGTGTCTGTGAGGAGCTGGAAATTTTCCGTGAGAACCTCCTTGATGAGTTTGTTCAGCTTGATGCAGTTCCAAAACCAGAGCGGAAGAATTTTGCTCCGCTCATTGAAGACAATGTGAGTATTAGGCAACTGATCCTTTCGACTGTACAGCGGCTTCGTCTTCATCATTTCCAGGTGCTTAATGATTTTCTCCATATTCTCCTTCACCTTAATCATCCGTCCGTGCAAATGGTCGATTCTCCCCTCGAGCTTCGCAATGCGATCCGTATCGAAATTACCCCAGCTGTCCTTCTCAATTAACACCTCAATGTCATCATCAATGGCACGGAGCTCATCCTTGATAACTGCCAATTCATACTCATTCATCTCCGTGCGCACAAAGCGATACTTTTCGCAGAATGACAACAATTTGTTCTTCACCATCCAAAAGGATTCGAATCGCTCCCGGAATTCCCAGACAATTTCCTCCGGCAGATCATACTTCAATTGCTGAATAATCCTGCAATCTCTCATTATCCTGCTGAGATTGTAGTTTATGTTGATATTTGGAATTCCAGTGGTATTCAGCACAATAAGTGGCTCAGCATAGCTCACCATTGTGCCATCAATAGCTTCTTCCTTCCACTTGCTCAACATCATCACCTCCAGTGCGCTTAATTTCCCAGATACATTCTCAAATTTCGCCATCACTCTCCTGCCATGAACCGTCGTAAGAATTCCATTGCTGAAATGCAATTGAAATTATTGAAAAGGATCTATTCAAATTACAACAATCCGAGTTGAGTGTGAGAAGAAAATAAAGATGATTCAAGCTCAAAAGCAAAATTGAATGAGTCAATGAAATATGAAGTAATAAATTGCAGAATATCTTTTCAGACAGATCATTGAGTTCCTTAAAACTCTTATCTACGCATTTCTGCATCTTCCAACTCTGGATAAATCTGTAGAGAGAAGAAAATCGAACGGAAAACTCACGTATCAACCACCAAAGTAAGCTGATCGAAGGGCTTCCGAAGGAGTCTCTTGAGTTGATTAATCCATTCAAGCACGCCTGAAGTCGTTGATGCCTTGCGATTCAACTGGAAATCGTCAATGTGCTTGACTTTTTCATTCACCGCATCGAAAATGTCATCAATTGCACCAATTTCCTGCTCAAAGACTTCACAAATCATCGTAAAATGCTCACGATATATTCGGTTGATGATTGGTCTATGAATGAAATCTCCGAGTGTCGTCAGAGTCTGAAATATGAGAATGTGCGAGGTTTTAAATTTACACTGTCAATTTGCAAAATGAAGAATTATTATTCACATTGATAACTCGCTGAATATTGGTGGAACGTGAGATGACACGCTGTAATATTGTGGCGATTTCCTCATCTAGCCGTTCAATTTGACGGAGGAAATGGTCTTTGACACGCTCGAATTTCTCTAGATTCTCTCCAACTCCGAGTGTGTTGGAAAGCATGTCATTTATGAGTTGAGAGTGAGTTTGAAATTTCGCATAAATTTTCTGCATTTGTCGAGAATATTCTTTACCTTGGATTCCACCAAATTCCACTCGCTCTAGACTTTCATAGTCTTTAAGGATCTTCTTCAGGTCTTCAGCATTTGCCATGTAATCGACAAGGTCTGATTTCACTTCAGTCACCAAGACTGACTGATTGGCGCTTGTTATCTTCTCCCATGTCTTGTAAGAAGGATAAAAAGTATGAATTCTATAGTATATTTTGACTTTTCAATCACAAAAAGTTTTTAAATTAAATCTAACGACAAGGAAAACTAGGACAGACTCAGTTGAGGAGCAAGAAACCCATTGGCAGTATGAATTTTAACCGAGTGAGACGTGCTTAAAGTGATGTAAAATGCATCTCTGTTTTTGTCAGTTCGCGCTATTGTCTTCTCCATCAGCCAGTTGATGTTCCTTAATATCCTTGCTAAACATTGTGTCAGAGTTGAGAAGTTGCCCTGGATGCAATGGCATCAGAGGACATTGTCAAGGAGCATCAGAAACGTGTTACAGTGAAAATCTGTGCTGCTTTGGCAACTTGGAGTGTCGCCAAATAAGGAATATATTGTGCGAAAGATGAATACGGAATTTTCACCTCAAGACTCCTCTCTGTGCTAATATGAAGACCAAAAATCTCTCAAGTTTCTCT